ATTTCAGCTAAATCTCAACCGGATAAATCTAGGGTTTTCACCAAAGCAGCTAAAGTCTCGAATTTATAGGCATGCCAAACAACCTCTAAAAATTATGAAATTTTAACCATGACATATTTAACATTTATAGGATTTTTCGTGAAAGTTTCATCGAATTCCGAGGTCTTATCATATTTTCTCAAAAATCGGGCATTTTAGCTACATATTCAAAAATCCAGTTAACATACTAAACGAGCACCAAAATTTACGAAATTAAAACCTAGGCCTCAAGTCAGCTATACGAATTTTATCCTATTTTTTTCGACATTTTTAACGCGTTTATCGAAAATATCAATTTATCCGCTTTAAGCTCGTGAGTACCGATCCAATCTCAAATCAACATCTCAATTAATTTTTATCTCGTTTTTATCATCAATTTATTCCATATATCTCAAGTCTTTAGGTATTATACCTCACGAGATTGGAAACGAACGGATCGGACTAGAAAATGGAAGAAAAACGGAGCAAGAAGCCGGTCGGGTCGGACCGGTCCAACTAGGAGCTGTTTGGACCGGATTTGGGCTGTTGACCGGGTTAAAGAAACCAAGAGTGGGTTGCAGCAGCTGGGCCGCGCGGATCTGGACCGTTGGGTCGGGTCTTAGGTGTGCTGAAACGGATCTGAGGCACCAGGTCGCGGGTAGGGTTGTAAACGAATCGAATCAAAGCGAATACCCAGAGATTCGATTCGATTCGTTTAAAATATTCGGAGATTCAATTCGTGATTCGATTCGATAACGAATTCATTTTTGGATTCGTATTCGATTCGTTTAGAACATTCGAACATATTCGATTCGATTCGAAATTCGTTTTTAAAAAAATATTATAATTATAAAATATTATAATTACAAAAATAAATTTTATTTTTCATATATTTTTATAAAATTTTGTCAATTTATGATGTTTTTATTTTTTATGACATAAAAATATTAGGAATATAACAATATATATATATACATATATTATAAACAAAAT